GGTGGTTGTTAGGACAGCAGGACTGCCCTCCTGATGGCGTCAGGATGGCGAACAGCTGGGTTGTGATTGGGTTCGGGGTGTTTGTTTGGCTTGTGATTTCTGCAATGAATGTAGCGAACTTGGTCTTGTTGGGGAAGGGCGATTCATGATAGCTGAGAGCCATTTTGGCATTTAGAGTTTATGATTTTGAGCACTCAGGGGTCAACCCGGTGATATGTGGAGCTTGCCTGACAGGGAGGATGGTGTGAATAGGTAGGTGTGGGAGTTACAAGCCCCCTGGCTGGTCTATATGAGCAGTGTTGAAGGGTTTTTTTTTTGGTTCGTAGACCGAGAGCAAGTGCCATTCGGTGGCTGAGAGCTAACGAGGCGTGTAGGTACTGTCAGAGTGGTAGAAGTCTGCCCACCAGAATGGGATACCACCGCGTATCGACCACTGAATTCTAGACAGATGCCGATACATCCAGAACCGGGCGGACATGGCCCTTGAAGCTGCCGATGACAAGCACCTCCCAGCCGAGACACCAAACTTTACACACAGACGTCGGAAACACCAACACCACTCCTTAACCCTCCGTTGAAAGCGCAAGATGAGGGTCTCCATGAGCTCAACGAGTGCTAATCTACGAACCTCATAGTCCATAGGATCTAGGGTCAGGCTTCACCATCTTGCGTGAGGCCGTCGATGGTGTCTGTGTAGGCCCTGGTGAGATGTCAAGAGGACTGTTTGGAGACGGAAAAGGCCTTGTTAGGAACTTGGGGGGCTTGCTGGGAGCTGGAGGAGGCTTGTAGACACACAGGACAATCGCCGTGATCGTGAAAGACGTCCCATAACGAAAAATACCTCACCACCAGCAATCAGCCCTAATATGGATTGAAGATAGCCGAAGCTGGCAGCGGTTGGGCCATCTTCAATTCTATGCAAACGTTCCCCGGAGCTCTGGCTCTAGAGCCGAAAGGACGCCTAGGCAGCGAGGATCCGGCCGACCACCACGACGGCCGCCAAGACCTCCGCCGCCCACCGAGCCGGTGGGGCCCCCATACCGAAATTGAGGTTGTAGGTATCTTGTCGTTTGACTAGCGATCTTGTACGTCGAATGCATCAAAGGTGTACATACTGCCGCAGCTGCACGAGAAATTAGCTTGAGGCTGGAAAATACTTACAGGCTGTTGGACATTTTGATCTGAGTGAACAAAACTCATGTCAGTCCAAGTATCAACACAATCATGAGGTTCTCAAACGGCAGCAGGGGCTGAGAGAACAATAAACGGGTGCCAACATGACACGACCTGGGTGAGGGCAGGCTGAAAGAAGCGGAACAGCAAGCACACCGGACTAGAAGTTGGCTTGAATGGCTAATTCAAATGGGCCAGCGACTCCCAGAGGATGAACTCGTCTCAAAGTAGAATGGAACCGGGGGCGAAGCAGAAGGCAACAACAACACGAGGAACTTGAAGACAGCAGCAGGACTCGAGAGAAGCAACCCGCTTCTAGCTGGGAAAAGAGAAAAGGGACACGAGAACCGAAGCAACGAGTGGAAGTGAGCGCTTGCAGTCGAACTTGTAGAATGCGGTTGACTGCACTCGAGAGGGAACAGAGAGGCAGAGCTTGGGGAGGGCAGGGGAAGGAAATCCGCTCCCAGCGAAACAGAAGCCATTGAAAGCAAAGAAACGAGGTGATAAATGAAAGTTCAAATCACATGCGGAGGTTCCTTTGCTTTGGGGGATAGCTATATCACGTTAGCAAGGTTGCTCAGAAAACCGTCAGGCATTAGGGCAGCCCAAAATGGGACGGGGCGCGTACAGATTTGTTTGATTGTTTCTGCAAACATCACGTTAGAAAAATGGACTCGGAATGGAGGCAAGATGGGATAAGATGTACTTATGGGGCGCTCGATGATTTATTGAGTTAACTATAAGATAGTTGGCATGAGAATTGCATCAACCAAGGGCGAGAATGGGCATAGAGGCGTCGAGATTCGGAGGGGATACAGACAGATTTGGAGGTGAGCTTGAAGAGAAAAAGAAAATTTCGAGGCGGCCGAAATTTTCGACAGCAACTTGTGTGGGCAGTCCAGCCACAAGGCTAGCCCTGCGGCTGACCCGTGGCTCAGTCGACGCGGGCAATTTCGAGGAAGGAGCGGCCTGGGGACACGACTGGAAGGCGTGTGGCTCGGACGTGATCTCACTCACACATGGCTCTTGACCCAAGCATCTGAATCAATCTGTCACAGCTGTAGGTCTTGATGACGTTGTCACTTCAACTCTAGGCTTTGAAGCCGAAGTTCAGATACTCTGAGCATGGTCACGGCGATGTATATGTAGTTCGGATCATAGCCGGCCATGGCAGCAACTCCCAGCGTCGAGTGAGACGGCTTTTGGGTTACTCCAAGACAAACATCATTTTCCAATAACTCCCTTCCCACATCAGAGCTCTAGATGGATGGGATTGGTCATGATTTGGGGGTATTGGGAGAGCGGGCGTCAATCTTGCGCCTTGCCAGCGAGAGTGCGATTCCCTACTTGACGCTGGCAGTGGGTGACGACGGTTGGGGACAGCTTTGATTCGAACTGCCTCGTTTGCCAATTTGCAGATGAAGCTTTTCAACTACAACCTCTGAGACCCCTGGTATGCACCATGGTTTTCGTGCCAGCCGGTTTTTTGTACAGCTAGATATCGCATCCTGTCGTGCGACAGAATGGCCAGCGCCAGTTTTGCACTACGTTGCCTTGCCTTCTGGGTCAGCCTGGCCTGAGTAGACTGAGATCATGGGCACAACGCGCGTTGTTGACATAAGCAATGCAAACAATCGAGAAGGGAAACCAAACTGGCCTGGTCGGATGCACAGTGGAGGCTCAGGCCTGTAATGCTGGGAGAGCTCATGATGTTCAAGAGTCCAAGTTACGAAAGGCCTCTTAGATACGGAAGATTGGAAACCAGAACTAAGGTCACAGCATATTTTCGCGGTCAAACTTGGCTCTGTGATATCGAAAACAAATGGAATTTTGGGCAACAAGGGAAAGCAGAGAGCCCGCGAGGTCAGGCTGCGACGCGAACTCGGACCTTTCGGTCAAACCTGGTGTCGACGAGAAAAGCGCATTTTGCCCACCACAAAAGCGCCGGAAAGGATACACAATAGAGGGGAGTGCCACAAGGTTTGATTTCACCGGCCATTTGTGATTCAGTGACTGATAGTTTTGGGTGTAGAAACCGACTTCATCTCGAACCCCCCAACTTCGTTGATGGGTTTTTTTTAACATCAAAACATGCTTTTGCAGCGCAATGATAGCGGGCGAGGGGTCTAAGATCCTCAGATTTCACGCTTGGTATCAATTTGGAAAGGCTCGAGAACGCTAAGGCTCATCTTGGGGCCTCACGGTCGTCATCCGCCAAACGCCGCAACCCGGTCGAGCCTGCGGATATCGCCAAAGGAATACCTACAAATGCTAACGTTGTTGCTGATATATTTGCATTCTCATGAGGTATATGTCCTGTCACACCTGCTGTCCCGCGCTGCCGTGGGTAAACATGAAACTTCAGCTCAGTTCCGGGCCTGACAAGCAATGCTCGGTGTTTTTGCCCTTGATGAAGCGAATGACGCCCGGCATCCATGGGACAAAGGCTGGGGTAAAGCTAGTTAGAGATACTCCTGCAACCGCACTACAGTGAAATAAAGCAAGGGCGCAAAATAACTAGATTTCGACAATTGAGAACAAACAGGACGACAAATCGCAACGGCCAGCTCGACCAGGACTCGGAGGCTGTTGCCACCCAGGGGCTCCAGCTGTGAATTTCCAACGGCAAGCTACTTACATGTACCTGCTTTAGATCCAGTCTCCAGTTGCGTGGTGACCCCACTTGAGCCCTAGAAGTCCAACCATGCATCTTGCTTGAAGTTCCCACCGGAACACCCGGGGACAGTGCAGATGATGCCACCACCACCAACTGCCTTTTCCAGTCCCCATCTATTTCTCCACCTTTGGCCGTGGTCACTAGCATTGCAGGAACTGCTGCGTTGCCATGTTGCTGCCACGGGCCGCAGCACCGGGGCGTCCGCGTTTTCATGCGTGGTGTTGCTGGGGGTGGTAGCAGCAGCGGGGGCGTCAAACATAAGATGAGCAGCGATTTTGGGTTCCCCACCTCCCTTGGTGCCCGGGGTAGCAGATGAGTGCGTAAATCGGGCGCATCTCCTCTCTGGGAAGTGAAGAAAAGCCAGAGAGCATCATATTCTGGAGAAGTGGAGCCGGCTCTCATGACCGATTCGGGGTGTAGGAGGAAAGTGGGCAATGGAGATTGGTAGCAATCGCTACTTCCTGTGCACGCAAAAAAACATCAGTGAAAGGGTGTCCTGCAAGCCGAAATTTCCGCGGTCCGCAAGATCGAACTTTAGGCAGGGTGGCTTTGTTTCTCTCTCCGGAGAGAAGATTTGACGGACTATCTACCAAATCCTATTGGCAAGCCAACTTTTTATACCGACATCACAATCCTACCTTCAACAATCTCAAATGCCCGGCTAGATACTTCTGTGGCGGATTCGAGGTAATCACGATAACCTTCGAGTCCTCAGACCCTAGCTAGAACCCCGGCCAGCACCAGTCCGCTTCATAGTACTATGATCTTAGCTTCCACCGTTCATGGCAGCAACGCTTGGCAACGGTCAGTCTTCGTTATGGCCGGATTCAATCGTGGCCAAAAAGAAACAAAAGGAACTTCGCCAACGGGCTACACTTGCTGTGTGAGTCATAGCGGAAACTACGTAACTTAGACATCCCTAAAATCTGATGTGAGACTTGATATCCAATGTGCGGTCCGGTAGGACTCTGCAACTCCATGTAGAGGTCAACTCGACCTCCCTCAACTCGTTCAGAAGGATTGGTTCTGCACGCACAAGAGCTCGCCTTTCGGCATCAAAACATGGCTTGGTGGTGAACGTCGAACTAGCATGAATTCGTCGATAGTTGAGGTTCAAAATAAATGGAATAAAATGTCAAAAAAAAAAAAACACCCGACGCCGGACTCGAACCGGCAACCTTTCGATCACGGCATCGCATCGTAGAAGTCGAATGCGCTAGCCATTGCGCCAGCCGGGCAATCATAGGTATTATTGAAAGCAGGGATCACTATCCTGTCGGAGATAGGTAAGCTGTGAGACGGGGCTTGGCGCCAGGGCTTGGCAGTCATTTCTCCGGCTTAGCCATCAGTCGATCCACACCCAAATAGGGGGGCATACGAAACAGGTGGTGATGTTGTGTTTCAGGGGTACCGTCTTGAAGATGGTCGGTCATCGTTCTCGCCCAGCTCGGAGTCCTTCGCAGCCAGGTGCTCTCACTGAAGATATCCACGTGTGCCTGGCGGCATTCGTCTTAACACAGTTCTGCGTGCATCCATCGTCCCCGGCCAGGGGACTTGTTGCTACGGCAACTGCAACGTGATGGTTGCCACCAGGGAAATAGGGGCCGAGAGACCACAGTCTAAAGGAGGTGTTGCTGAGGTAAGGCATGGTAGCAGATTGAAATTTGTAGGCATCTGCTATGTGCAAATAGAATAAACTCGGAAGTGCCGCGAACGAGAACCGAAAGCAAGGTCACCCGGGCTCACGGGCAAAGAGTGTGGTCAAGGTCGGCGCGTCGAAACACGAGCAACCATGACGGGACTTGGGTAGCAGCTTGATGCACTGTTGAAAACATTTTTAATGGTCCACAAATTGGAGGAAATAGGGTGTGACAATGAAGAAACGCTGCCCCATGAAGCAGTTGGTCTCCGCACATGTACCGTCCGGGGGAGTTTGCGGAGGTCTCATAAAGTTTCGAACCCGTAGTACACTCAACACCATACCTGCCTACCTATATTGCCTTATCGTATTGAAAATGCATCGCTCTGGAGAGAGCACCGGGCGGCAGCCTACATGAACACGCAGATGCCCCTGCGGCCCTCCCAACAACGCGTGGTTAGACTTAGGATAGGGGCTAGTATGTGGAGCCCCACTGGGGCCCCAGCGCCAGACGTCCACCACCATCAGCAGTGTGTGCTTGCCTTCCTCAACGCGCAACAACAACTGAATCGCTCCCTTCGCCAGACTTTGGGGCTTCCTTCATTGACATGAGCCCAATTAGAACACATACGACCGGCAGTTGACGGCAGAGCACCATGTGCACCGCCTAGGAGTACTGGCACGGGCTACACTAGACCAGCAGTCAATACCATCATCACCTTCCAACCCGCCCACAGGGATCCCATAGCAAGCCAAACTAAATCCTTCAACAACCTGATCCATTTCCTCAACAGATAATAGGTCAACGGCAATACTGTCCCCTAACTCACAGTACAATCACGAACAGCCGGCAGAAAACTAATTGAACCCGCCGAAGCCCGAGCTGCCATCGAGCTTCAGCAATACTTCAGCGAGAGCAAGGTCAAGAAGTAGTTAGGTGTGCTCAAGTTTCAGATGACGAAGTAACTTCTTCCCAGAACCCACGAGATACGCTAATATCCAAGCGCTATAGTCACAATTCAGGGCTCTTTTCATCATGCCAAAGACGTCGAAAGCCTGGGTGCACGCGTTCCGTCCCGGCCAGATACACCGGCTAGAGTTGAAACGTCAAGAGTTGCATTATTGTTGGCTTCAGCGGTATTAGTAATGAAGAGAATGCGAATAAAGTGAGCTGATGATTTCGACGAGCCTAAGAGGTAAATGTTGAGTGTACTAAACCTGGAACCAACACATCTGCGGTCGCCGGACGGATCAGAATACACCCAAAATATAGCATTGCGGGTATCATGAGCGTTTTGCGGTGTGATACTCTTCAGTTAGTTGCTGTATAATACCGGTATGTCCACCCCGATTGCCTTGCCAAGGTCGAACTCGATGGCCGCGGTGGCTTTGGTAGGTAACTGAAATCCTTCATCTAGGAAGCGACATGCAATTCAGCTTCAGTGAAGGCATAGCTACGGCTGACGTCAAACTGGTTGCCGAGTCGGAACAGCCACCGACGCCAGAAAGATTGCCGGCCATTTCCCCAACACTGATATCGATGAGATACCTCTCCTCAGATGAGAAGATCCGGAAATTGATCGTGGGTGTGCTTCCCACCCCGTACCGAACGCAGTTGCTGGTTCACCAAAACTTGCCAAAACCACCAGCCATCGCCAAAAAAAAAAAAAATCTCGACCGCAAGCTCGATGTCTTGGTCCCAACTACCGTGGTAACTGCGCAAGCTACAACAGACCCAGACCGACGGTACCGAAATTGGGGAGAACCTCCCCAAATGACGACGGGCTCCATGCGATCACGAAGACGCTAACCGGGTCAGAAACTGCTCACACCACGACACCCGCTAAAACATCATAGGAAAAAAAAGCCATGAAAAATACAAAGTATTAAGATAGAGCAATCTAGATGATTGTAGAAGTCTTGCGCGCTACCATTGCGCCAGCACGGGCGTCTGAGATTGTTGAAAGCAGGGGTCGGCATCTGGTTCATAACGGTTGGCTTGACGGCAGGGCTTGGCAGTCACCGGGCATCGTTAGCCATCCGTGTAACCGTGTCCAGGTCACTCCCGATGCCGTCTCCTTCGTCTGATCCCTCCGGAGCACACGAATGGAAATTTTGAGTTCGGGTCGACTGCGAGCTCATCATGTCTGGTGACCTTGACAATCCAGTATGACGGCTTCCTTTTGACTTCGGTGAACCCGACAGACTGAGATTCCCGCAGTCGAAGGATTTTTGAGCAAAAAAGCGTGATGCAGAGCGGGAATGACAGTGCTCAGGAAGAAGCAAGAGATAAAATTTTCAATCTCTGCATACACTATTCTAGATAGACCTAACTATGCAATTAAAACTATCATCCTCAATGCCAGCTGTCAATCTGCACAAAACCAATTCTGGTTGACCAGATGCTCTGGCTAACCAGAAAACAGGAAGACAGGGGATCTAGTTGACCAGAAAACTGAGAGGCGGGGGTTTTGGCTAGTCAGGAGGAAGGTGCTCTGGCTAGCCAGACAAGAGAAACCTGAAAATATAAAGTCGTAAAATAAACGCGTAAAAGACTAAATCCACTCTGGGAGTAAGGTGTTAGTGATATAAAATCATAATGAGCTACTTTTAGCAAGCGCCCGCCGGGTGAGTGGTAGATTAAACAAGTGCTGGAGGTAGATCAGTCTCCAATTAAAACACCCGGCGCTTGCCAAAGCGATGTAATTCACGTCGACGATGCCTCACAACTACAGATGGCGCCAATCCTGGTGCTTATTACAGTGTAGTCCTTTACCCTGCGTTACCAAACACTGATAAGGGGTGTGACCGGTGTTACTAGACACAAAGGGCCCTCTGAACAAGGTTACCAGGCACAACGTGTACCCCAATGACAGGTTACTAGACACGACCTAGAGGCCAATAGAGGTTACTAGACACCGGACACTCGCACCCCACATCTCCGCGTTACTGGACACAATAGATGTAATGTCCCATAGTTACTGGACACGATGGATGTAATGTCCGATGGTTACTGGACTACCAGACAACACAATGCAGGGCTGATTTTACACTAACGAAGGTGTGATCGGTGTTACCAGACACCCGTGGCCGGGAACCGCAGACCTGCGCTTTTTGCGGTTCACTCATACAGTACATACACATCTAAAAAAAACCAACCAAACGCTGCATAGCTGTTATAGGGCGGCTGGGACAGCCAGTGAAGTCCATCCATCTATCCATCCATGTGGTGGATCTACTGGTAAATTTATTCCAAATTGCATTCTCTAACTTTCTAATCGACTCGTAGATCTGCTAGCAGATTTATTCTCAAATCCCATCTTCTAAACTCCCAATGCTCTTTGACTCAACCTACTAGTAGATCTACTAGCAAATTCTATCTCAAATCCCATTCCCTGAATTTCCAACGGTCTCTATGACTCAGAGACCTGGTAGATCTACTGGTAGATTTAATTCCCAAATCCCATTCCGTAAATTCCCAATGCTCTCTGCGACTCAGACTACAGCAGAGGCCGAAATGAGTGTCCATGATTTCAATGTTCAAATGCTCTCAGAAGGGCCAGTTTTGTAGCTCACGGTGACTCATACAGTGCGCTTTTCCGACACTTTGCACAGGCGCTGAGCCGGAACCTGCTGCGGTGTCCAAAACCAAAAGCATAGGCCGCCTTGACCCAGGGGCTGGCTGACTAGGAACAAAGCTAAACAGAATTGAGCAGATGTAACAAATATAACTGGTCAATTGCATATCCTGCGCTTTAACCAGATTGAGAACTACAAACGCCCTCGCTCCTCCATTGCTCCACAGCGGCCAAAGACCTCATTGTGTCTGGATGATTCCTACCAATTACCCGCTGCCGAGCCTGGGCACAGTCCTCCATCAAGGCCAAAGCTTCTTGATACCGATCCTGACTTTTCCAAATCAAAGCAAGGTTGTTTATACTCGTCAGCGTATCTGGGTGATCGGCCCCGAGCTTGGCCTTATGAGCCTCCATCACCTGCACCCCTAGCTTCTCAGCCTCTGACCACCGGCCCTGGCTCCGAAGTGTCAACGCTAAGTTACCCATACTTATCAGCGTATCTGGGTGATCGGCCCCGAGCTTGGCCTTATGAGCCTCCATCACCTGCACCGCTAGCTTCTCAGCCTCTGACCACCGGCCCTGGCTCCGAAATGTCAACGCTAAGTTACCCATACTTATCAGCGTATCTGGGTGATCGGCCCCGAGCTTAGCCTTATAAGCCTCCATCACCTGCACCGCTAGCTTCTCAGCCTCTGACCACCGGCCCTGGCTCTGAAGTGTCGACGCTAAGTTACCCATACTCATCAGCGTATCTGGGTGATCAGCCCCGAGCTTAGCCTTACGAGCCTCCATCACCTGCACCCCTAGCTTCTCAGCCTCTGACCACCGGCCCTGGCTCCGAAGTGTCGACGCTAAGTTACCCATACTTATCAGCGTATCTGGGTGATCGGCCCCGAGCTTAGCCTTACGAGTCTCCATCACCTGCACCGCTAGCTTCCCAGCCTCTGACCACCGGCCCTGGTTCCAAAGTGTTAACACTAAGTTACCCATACTCATCAGCGTATCTGGGTGATCAGCCCCG